AATGGACAAAAGTTTTGATAAGACACTTCACCAAGGATGAGCTGCACATGGCAAATAAGAACACGAAAAATATCCTTACCATCATCAGTCAGTAACACAAGGCAAATCTGACTCACAAGTCATAATGAGAATGGTAAAAACCGAGGGAATAGTGCAGCCAGATATAAACTCTCAAACATGTCAATGTAACATACTAATTCTGGAAGTCTGTCAGATTCTAAAAAAATTAAATATGCACCTACTATACTGCCTAGTAATCCCACTCCTAGATATTTATCCAAGAGAAATAAAAACACAAAAAAGCCACAGAAAGATTTAAACTTGAGTATTAACAGCTTTATTAATAAAAGCCCCAAAGTGGACACATCACAAATGTTCACCAGCTGATGCATGGATAAACAAATTGTGGCATATTCACACTACTGAATACTATCCTATCATTTAAAAACAAGTACTGATACAGAAAACTACGTGGGTAAATTTTCAAAGCATTATTGTACGTAAAGGAAAGTAGATATGAGAGACTACTGTGTGTTCCCATTTACATGAAATTCTGGAAAAGGAAAAAACCTAGAAAGTTAATTAATGGTTACCAAAGTCAGGAAGTGGGAAGAGGAGACTGACACAAAGGAGCCAGAGGGGAAAGCTCTGAAGTGTAAGCAATGTTCTATATGATTGCATACTTCTCCAAAACTCACCATTGCACACTTACTATTGTCAAATTTCATTATATGTAAATTATACCTTAACAAAGAATATTAAGAATAGCTGACAAACCTAGATAAAATGAGTAATTTCCTAACAACAAATAAATGACCAAAACCCAAGAAATAGAAACACTGAATAAGCCTGCAACCACAAAAGAAATTGCCATAATATTACTTATCCAAGATCTATACCCCTTCCTTGCTGACAGAAACTTTCTTTTATTTAGGAATATGGTAGGCCTGTGACTCAAAGGAGGATGGTTTCCTCAGCAGTCCCGAAGAAGTAGCTTCTATCTACTATTAGCTGAAGTATAATTAGGTATCCACTAAGCTACCTGCGACTATTTAGCTTTAAACAAAACTAAGTCTTATAGACTTGGTTCCTCAGTCTCAGTGGTTCTACTTCAAGCACTCAATAATCATTTGCAAATAGGGGCTACCATATTAGACAGCACAAATACTGAACATTCACATAATAGCAAAAATTTACCAAATAGCGCTAGTCTAGGTCAACTATGGGAATTCCAATGTCAGCACTTGATTTATGATTGTACAGGTAACAGCTTATAACCAATCTCTGGCTACGGTTAACTACTTTTTAAGAATTTCCTCTTTCTTATTTTGGAAGAATAATATAGAAAGCCTTTAACTTCCTAAGTGTTTATTGTTATACAGTTCTCAGAACACAGGTTGGAATACTTGTGTTGGGCCACTTTGCTTAAACTCTGAGTTAGTCTGTACAAGTTTACCAGTTAACTGCCACAGACCTACAGTATAACACAGCACCCCAAAGCTCATTGCTTTGAGACTCACAGAACTACATGTCAGTTCATCTAGGTCAAGTTTCTAGAGGAGCAGTTTGCCTTTGCTTGATGTGTTCTCTTTTTGAGACTAGCAAAGTAATGGAAGAGAGTTCATAAGGAAATGCAGTTTTAGGTGTAAGAGTGCAAATCCAATTACACAAGTACATTTCAAAATGCTTGGTACATCAAAACCAGTCAGGTTTCAAAAGCCATAGCAACTCATATCAATGAACCCAATGTCAAGAGGTGGGAAATAACAGTTTACTTCTTTATTGGGTGGAACTGCACATACCAAAGAGCATGGATAGAGTGTTGGAGGGAGTAGGAAGTAAACTGGCTACTTAGAAAATGCATCACACCAATTATAATAATATTAATAACATGGTAGCTATGGACTCATTAACTGAAAGCCCAAAAAGCAACCAGCTATAGTCCCATATCTGCAAAGCAGTGAGTCTTAAAGAAAGAAGCTCTGAAGTCTAAGCCGCCAATCCCAGCTTTAGCCTTTACGAACTGTGTAGCACTAGAATATTATCTACCTCTCTGTGCCAGTTTCTAGATCTTAAAAATGGGGGTGATAGTAAGACTGTGTTCAAGATAGCTTGGGTAGAAATACATGAAATTTGTATACTTTAAATAATTTTTTTTAAAATAGCATAAAAAATAACTTGGGTAGAACAGCACAGTACTAGAAATTTAGCATGTATTCACTAAGTGGTTGCTGCTCTCATTGACTATCCTGAGAATGCATTAAACTGCATTTCATGAGAACCAAACGTATTTGGCAGGATCACTGCTTCTCAAATTTGGCTGAATGTTAGAATCACCTAAAGAATTTTTAAAATCTCAATGTCCATGTAGTGCTCAAAGTCAGAATATCTGGGAGTAGGGCACAGAAACTAATCCCATCATTTCCAGCACTCAGCCAAGTTTGAGAAGCCTTGTTATGGATAACCAGATGCCTACTAAAATCATTGTTTTTCCTCCCAAAAGATACAATATTAGAAAAAATGGCTGCCTGGCTTAGTTATGGTCCCATTACGAGTTCTAGCCAAAGGAATGTGAGTAGAAATAATATGTGCCATATTTCTTAAAACAATCTTTTAACAGGTATGATTGAACCAGAACATACTCCTTCATTTTTTTTATGTCCACTGGTAAGGCTCATCCAGTATCACTGAAATTATGTACAGTGCTATTATTTGCAATAATGTTTGCTTTCAACCTGATTCTTCTATCATTAGAGCCTTAGGGTAATTATCATTGATATTAAGTTGGGAAAAGTAAATACCAGCGTTTCCAGCAAAGCCCTCCCTTTGTCCAGTTCTCAACAAATATCTGTGATATTTGCCCTCACTCCCCAATCTGGTTTTTGATCAATATCCAGGGATAATTTCTTGAATCAAAGGAAATATTATTTAGTCAAAGATACTTATACCCAAAATGAAAATTGGCAAAATAAGTCAAGTACTGGTGAGATTCTGTATTTTAACCATATCCCATATCCTTCAGGTTTTCTTCAGAGCTCAAGGATCACATATCTTAAGGTTCTACTTCTTCCTCTTCTGCAAATATCAGCGTTTGTGTAAAATGTAATTATGCAAAGTTACTGGTATGGACCCAGTCTTCCCTGAGAGCCTTTTATTACCACAGAAGTTGTGTTAAAGGTCTCTGCTACTTGATCCCAAAGGCTGTAGTGTTCCTTTTGAACTACCTGAAATCTGGGCACTAACAGTATCCTATTCAGTGTTGTACTTTCAATGCCTGGTCAGTCAGGATGTAAATGATACAAAATATAAGGCGAGACAAAGATCTCTAACTTCCTGAATATCTTCCCCATTTTAAGGACCTAAAGGTCCTTATATTGTTTTCAGGCGAAATCTCTTATTCACGTTCTAGAAGACCACAAGTATTATGATACTTTGCTTTATTGTTTATGGCCCAAAATGAGGCAGAGAATATTGAGTGAAGTATCTCCAGCAAAACAGAGTGCCAGAAAAATAAACGCAAATGTTTACATTGCTAAGACAACAAGTGAATCTCAATTAAACTTAAATTTTGATTCCTTTCCCTCCAAATTACCTCTTCATTAAGACACATACAAATCCTGAATTATAACAAATCCATGGTAGACCTGGGTTTGGGCTATCAAGGCACCAAGAAGTCTACATTTGCCACACTGAGGTGCACAGCATTACTTTATGCAAGAGAAGTCCAATTATTTCTGAAACCTGAAAAGCTCTTAATGCCCTCGCATTATCACAATCTGTTTCTTTTCTGTGTTGATTACTCGGGCTAATTGAGAGTATTCTCATCTACTGAACTCTAAATTAATATTAGATATAAGTTTGAAAAATGTCTTACTAACAAGCTTTGTCACCAGCAGATTGCTTCCCCCAAATTCTAACTGAAACTCTTAATAAAAGATTTGGTTTAATAGTAGTGTAAGTGCACTCATTTTGAGCTGGGCAAAAGATAAGAGTATCTTTCAAGAGCAAACCACTGGACTCTCAATGTCGGGCTTGTTTTGTTAACCGGGCCTTGAAACCTCTAGGAAGTGCGGGTTATCCCAATACTGCTCAGCTTCCCGCAGGGTCCCTGATCCCAAGCCAAGCACCGCTTTCTGTGATGGCACAGATATTGTGTATTGTTTCTATTCAGGGGAGTTCCACCGTCCCTGCTTACTGCCCACTGGAATCGTTTAAAATAGCAGTAACGACTTTAAAACTATTTCATTTTGTTCCGTTACAGCCCCAAATCAATTTAAGTACAACTAGGAAAACGCCAAACGAAGATTTCTACCTTGTACTAAGCTTCCTGGGAAAAGACAGAAGCTGAATGATCATCATTTAAGACAGACAGTGACAACCGTCTTCGTTCATAAACCCAACATCTTTCACGGCGTCGAAACGTGCAATGCCCAGGGTGGTTCTGGAAGCCAGTGTCACCCGTCTGATTTCCACGAGAACTTTCCAGTGGGAGTAACTTACAAGCCTCGCCTTTCACTATGTGCAATCCGGTGCACCCAAAAGCTAGGCGGCTGCCCAGCTCTGCCTCAGAGGCTTATCTGCTCGACTCCAGGGATACCCGCTCGGTTATCTCCCCTAAGATGCAAAAGCGGATGCGAGAGTCGGAGCCGCGCTGTCAGCGGCCGACCGCTCCCAGCAGGCCGGGCAGACCCCGGCGAGGCCGAGGGGCGCGACCATGGACACTGCAGCGGGGCTCCCGCACAACACACCGCAGGCCCCAGTCTATCCGGAGCAGCAGAACCTCCCTCCCCACCGCCCCCGCTTTTAGGAAAGCCGCGGAGGCCCGAGGCCCGCGAGCCGGGGACGGGGACGCCAGGAGACTCGCGCAGCGGCTTCCTCTCCATCCAAAAGCTTCCCCGGCTCCAGGACAGCCCCCGTCCTCCCTCCGGGGCCCGGAGAGGCCGGAGACGTCTTCCTCCCCCGACCTCTGACCTCTGACCCTCCATCACCCAAGCGCTCACCCAAGCTGCTTCTCCAAATACTTGAGTGGGTGTGCACCGGGTCCGGAACCCGCTAATGCTCCCTCAGAGTCCAGGCATTCATTCGCTACGCACGGAGCATCCGCCCTATGTGGGCACGCGCGTTGTGTGTTGTGTTGTGGCCTCCGGGGGCCCAGAAGCCACAGCGCTTAGCTGCCGGGCGCGCGCAGGAGCGTGAGGTCAAGGTGAACGCGCACGTCGGGCGCCCCGCCCCTTTCCTCCCTTCTCGGCTTCTAGAGCCTCTTTTGCGCAAGTACAGTTGGAGTCTCGCGATAGCTATGCCGCACATTAATGAAGACAGGATTGGCTGACGTCCAGAAGAAAGAGGCGGGACAGTAAGCAAATATAGGCAGCATCGCAGGGGCGGGGTTCTGCTTGCCGCCGGAAGCAAGAGGTAGTTAAATCATTTGTATATTTAGTAAGAAAGCAGAAAAGAATTCTCCAGAACTTATCTACTTAATTACTTCAAGAAAGAAGTGACTTATTAGGTGCGAATGAAGCATGCCTCTCTTAAAAAACATTTGTTAAGATTTACGAAGGAAATGTGAGGAAATATTTTTAAATAAGAATTCTGCTGAAGCTAGCCTTCCATCATCTTAGTTTTAAAGTTTCTGTTTTCTCCTCCCACCTCTTACAGAAGGAAACTTTCGCTTAGTTAACTTTGGTATAACTCTGGAAGGTTTTACAAAAGCCTGTAAATTAACTTCCGGGAAATATTAGGCAGTCAGTCAGTGAGTGTGTACCTAATAAGGACTCAACATTTATACTTTGGCGCGGGGCGTCTCAGATGTGTGTGATTCCAGAAGAGCTAAAGTAACTGCTTGCCTAACACGACCTCCTGTGCTGTGGAAACAATCTAGAGGAGCCCTTTTCCTGCTTATCACAGACCCCAACAGCCTGAAAGACTCTATTTACATAATCTAAAACCTGTCAAACTAGACAAATCAATTGCACTATCCAAAGTTTCATGAGACAAGTTTGGAAAACTGCTAACGCTGTGACAGTGGACAAGCAGGATTCTTCTTCATTAAGGAATTGATCATTTCCCCAAATACATGATGCAATGAAACCTTTGTTCCACGGTGTGATAAGGAACTGGGTATTTAAACAAATATTATGCTAAAAAATGTTATCCTTGATAGCTTTATCACTTCTCACCATTGGAGGAGTGAAGTGGGCTCATGGATTGTCTGAAATATTTGGCTTCTGATGACAGGCAGAAATAGTTAAAAAAAAATAGCACAGCATCTTTATTCACCTGGCTTGGGGTTACTTACAGACATAATTTCGTTAACACTGTGCAGGATATTAAACTGCAGATCAAATTGCAAATTCTGTGATGTGATTGCATTATAGACATAGAATTCTAGGCTCTACCTTCCAGTGGTTACAATGAAACAAAATTCTCCCTTATGTTCAATCTGGTATTTGCCAACTACCCTGTACATCCATTGAGAAATTTCCCTATGGAAGAATGTTTTTCAGGTTTAGAATTACCAGAGCTCATTTCAGAAATCATGGTTCACTTTTGCATTTTGGCTCTATGGCAGCTCCCAACTGTGAAACACCTGTTCACCTCAGCAACATTGAATTCATCCACCTGTTAGATACTAGAAATCTGATGACATTCTGCAAATGAGATCAACTGATTGGACCTAAGTAGATCACTGTCCATACAGGTCGACTGCTTCTTCTTGAAAGTATAAAGGTGAGGGCAGTCACACCACTTGATCCCTTACAAGGTCTCACTTATAAGATCTCCAGGTCTATTTCCTTTTGAAGACAGTATCTTTATTCTAGCCATGCCCTTATCTTGGGCCTGGTCATTTATTTTACAAATGAAGTTGTTCTTAAGAGTAAGTAGGTGAATTAATGCAAATTTAACCTGCTTTGGGGACGTAAACAGGATAACATGATTTACCAATGTAGAATTTCATGTTTTGCAAAAAACTCTTACATTTTTGATTTTCATTTGATTTCTAGAACAATAATGGAGTGAGATTTTTTTCATTTCCTTTTTATGAAAAACAAGCTGAGATTCTCAGATATTCAGTGATTTGCAACAGTTGAGCTCCAAGAGAACAGGAGTACCTAAAATCCCTCTGTCAAAGCTGTTGCCCTGTTTTTCTAAATCATGTAATCTAGCAAATAAAATGAACAAGTTAGTCATGAAACTCACTAGGCTAGCATGGGCAAAATGAAATCCAGACAGCTATACTTGTTTGATTACACAGGATTGTTGTGTATCTGTTACAGAACCATGATGAGTACAGAACCATGATGAGTCCTTTTGCCCACACATGAGAAAGCCAAACACTGGGATCAGTGTCCTTTGAGAAGAAAAAGTTTGTCACAAGGTGGCTAAGCAAGGAGTCAGGAGTAATGATCAAATCTGACTCCCAGGGTGGCTTGAGCAAGGTATTTATTGGGAAGGAAGCAAGAGATGGAGATGGAACATGGGAGTTCACTGACTGACTAAAACAGATGTGTTCTTGGTTCTTCTATGCCAAGTGTGGTTTAGCTACATGCCTCTTCATGCATTGCATGTTAAAAATGATGGCTTTATCATATCCAGCAGGTGATAGGGGAGGGATTTTAGCACAAGTTTCAGCAGTTCATCCAGTGTTCAGTGGCCTGTGTGCCATTTACCATACCATGGTTCTGGCTGGTTTTGGCCAGTTTTATCTGAGAGTCCCAACAAGGCAATTTGCTGCTCTGTAGGATAAGCTCCAAGTTTAAGATAGTTCTCTGTTTCTTAACCCTATAGGATACAGTTTATATCAGCAATAGAGATCATTCAGGGTTAATACTGTTTTCCCACTAAGAAAAATCATTACAAAAATTGTATGAGAATTTATTCCATATTCTACCTACTTTTTCCTGCTTTCAAGAAATTAAGTAGGTGGCCACCTAGTCTGGGAGAGTATTGCCAAAGACAACTCTCTGTTGCTACTTCCTATACTTTTGGGATTCTTTCCCTCTTTCTGACAAATTGAAAATAATAGGACCAAGGTCACTGTTGCAGATTGAATTTCAGTATTCAAAGCCTTTGTTAAAATGTGTGTTGTAATAACAGAAAATAGAGAGGAAACGTGGCTCAGGAAAATTGGTGCTAGCAGGAGTGGTATAAGGTCTACAAACAACCAGTGGTGACAGGAAATATACATCCTTTGCAGGAGCATGAGCACGATACATCAGGAGGCAGGAGGTATGTGAACTGAATACAAATCTTCACGTTTGTAACTTCACAGCTTTTCCTCAGGCTTGCCCTAAATCATTTTAATTGTTAACTTTCAAATTTATTTTTCCATGGTGATTTACAGGTTGGACTTATTTCAAAGTCCAAAGTTTGTTCTATCTCCCCTGCTGGAAGCTCAACCTGCAGACTGAAATCTCAAGCTGTGCCCCTTCTGCCTCTCCTACTTTCTATTGCAAAATTTGTAATCAGAACAGAAAATGTTACACTGGACTTGGATTTATGACACAAGCGGAAAGTGATTCATTATTTCTTATTGTTAATTTTGACCATGGACAAAGTAATAATTTAAGTTTAATACTTAATCTTTAAGTTAAATAAAAAAGGGAAAGGTTGAAGGTGAGTCTTCTGGATAAGAAAAGATGTGAGATTATATTCAGTGCTTATCAGTGGAGATAAATGTCTGTATGTTGCCCTCTTACCCCTTACTCCCACTCCTGTAACCATCACTCCCCCCACAAGGCATATTTTTTTCCAATTTTATTAGTGTGGCCTCAGGCATTAAGGAATAAGAATATTGTAGATGAATCCATTGATGCTCATGACTCAATAATATTGATTATGCAGTTTGGAGACCTATAAGTAAAATGGCCTTTGAATATTGAAGGAATAACTATCCAGTGTCATTTTAATATAGAATAGTTGCATGACACTTCCAGAATTAAGCTAAAGCCTCAAAGAAGTTTTATAATGGCATTGTTAGCATAAAATGATGCTTACTGGAGAAGGAAGCACTTTCCAAACCTTCTATCCACTGGCAGGGAAACACCATGCTCACATTTAAGCATTAGTGTGTTGCTTAGATTTGTTCTTGAGACAATGACAAAGTTAAATATCTGAACTCTCCACTGAAGCCTGAAATAAACTTAAATTCATAAATAACTTAAATACTACACAAGAGTAGTATATTTTGATTAACAGTTATATCCATATTCCATAATGCCCCTTATCTTATCAATGAGCTCCTGGGAGTTTGTTTTAGAAAAGTAAAAACAAACCATCTCATATCTCAAAGAAATCTGTTGAGACTAACTCAAAGACAGATGTTTGGCGACACTAGAGAAGATGACCTCTGACTTATGCCCTAATTGATTCTTAGATAGTTAAAAAGCTATCTCATAAATCAAATTCTCATTTCCAGTAAATATAAGGTTATAACTGGGAACTTCACCAATCCAAGTCCATTTCATAACTTTTTTTTTTTTTTGATAGGCAGAGTTAGACAGTGAGAGAGACAGAGAGAAAGGTCTTCCTTTTTCCATTGGTTCACCCCCCAAGTAGCTGCTATGGCCTGCGCGTTGTGGCCTTCGCATTGTGCTGATCCGAAGCCAGGAGCCAGGTGCTTCCTCCTGGTCTCCCATGGGGTGCGGCGCCCAAGCACTTGGGCCATCCTCCACTGCACTCCCAGGCCACAGTGGAGAGCTGGACTGGAAGAGGAGCAACCAGGACAGAATCCGGCACCCCAACCGGGACTAGAACCCGGGGTGCTGGCGCCACAGGCGGAGGATTAGCCTACTGAGCTGCGGCGCCAGCCTAATAACTTTAACATATAAACATTACCATGAAAATAGAAAATAAAATACAAATGCATAATAAAACTCTTAATTAGTTAAATTGTGAATGATATTTTGATAACATTTTCATTGTTGACTAAAATGTCTCAAATACCTCAAGAGTTTAAAGAAGTTTTCACTGAAAATCTTTTTGATAAGTCCTTCAGAACTGAGTATTTTTAGACATTCTTCATTTTTCTATAGTCGTTTAGTGATATCTGTCTAAGAAATGTTACTGTTAAAATTTCTGTAGGCAACAAGTGGTAAATCTTGCGGCTGTTTCTTCGTGTCATAAAATTCAAATGATTCCTTAATCTAAATGCAGTTATGGGGCAAGCATTTGGTTGAGATGCCACTTAAGACATCTCATATCAGAGTGCCTGGGTTCGCATCCTAGTTCTTTTTCCCATTTTAACTTCTTGTCAGTGTGCACCCTGGGAAGCAACATAAAATGATTCAAGTATTTGGTCCTTATAATCCACATGGAGAACCTGGTTTGGGTGCCCAGCTCCTGGCTTTGGCCCGGCCCAACCCTTGCTATTGCAGCCCTTTGGGGAGTGAACCAGCAGATAGGAGATCTCTCTGTCCCTCAAATTAAATAAATATTTTAAAAAATGCAGTTCTAGGCTGAGTTTGCTGAAACTTCATTGGATGCCCATGCCTCTAAGTATTCTCATTGATTATAACTGTAAATCAGTCAGCATTTTATTTGTAATATGTCTTCAGCGAGGGGGAAGGGGTTCTCCTTTATTATGAAGAAGGGTATAATAGAATAAAATTAATTATATCACTATATTGGCTTTTTCAATATCCATGCAACTTGAGGGTCCTATATAGGCAAACCTTACACAACAGAATATTAAGGGAAAAAATAGGTACCACAAACATTTCTTCAGTTTCTTTCATTCAAAGCCATGCCAAGAAGAAATCTGTTTAAGGCTTTGCTCTTCCCTTTTACTAAGTGTGGAATAGAATTTTGGGCAAATTTTTTACTTGCAACAGTCACTTTTCTTATTTGTATAATGAGAATAATAATAACCTCTCCATCTACCTTAGAGAAGTCAGGTTGTATTGACATGATATAACCTCAGGATACAAAGTTATTTTTAATGTACCCACATATATGTGTAATAGTGGAATCCTACTGGGAACATGCTACTTCTTAATGTCTCTGGATTTGGAAATGGAATTATTAAAGAATTTCTCACTCTTCCTCCAATTAACATTACAAAGGAATTATTCTTATTAATTTTCATTGACTTTCAGAAGATGACTATTTTATGGGAACAATACTGATCTTTTTTAGATTTATTTATTTATTTAAAAGAGTTATGAAGAGAGGGGGAGACAGTGAGAGAGATCTTTCATTTGCTGGTTCACTCCCCAGATGGCTGCAAGGGCCTGGAACCAGGCCATGCCAAAGCCAGGAACCAGGAGATTCTCCCAGTTTCCCAAATAGATGGTAGGGGCCCAAGCACTTGGACGATCCTCTGCTGCTTTTTCAGTTAACAAGGAGTTGGATCAGAAGTAGAGCAGCTGGGATTGGAACCAGCACCCATATGGGATGTTGGCATCTTGAGTGGTGGCTTATCCTGCCACACAAAAACACTGACCTTAATACTGATTTTTTGAAGTGGTATTTTTGTCTTGCTCTACAGGAGAAGAATATAATCAAGAACACAAATCAGAGATGATAAAACAAAGTCCAGTGAGAAGGCTATTAACAAATTATGTTTTACTGATGGGGTCCAGATTTCCAGGTGATACAGGCAAGGTAACACTTTCTATTTTTCCCAAATAATAATATAGAGGCTTTGGTACCTGAATTGTTCTTCTTCCCTGTGGCTACTACAACTATAACAACCAGATGTGATTTGAAGTAAAGGTGAGTTAACTGAAGAAGTGAAGGTTAAAGCAACTTCTTTAGGAGTAACATCACTTGGGGCTCTTCATTCTCTTAGAACTGAAGAAAAAATGCAGAGTGAGAATCTTGCCGAAGACAAGAAATTTCATCACAGTGTGTATCTATCTATCTATATAGATAGATGGATAGATAGATAGATAGATACATGACAATACTCCTAGCTAAGGGTGTGTTTCTCAATTTTCTGGTGGAAGTAATAAGACTTTTAAGACAGGTTTAAAATCATTGATCCAACACTTCCAGTTGTGTATTCTTGGGCAACTCATTTATTTATTTATTTATTTTTTTTGAGCATCAACTTAAAAAGTATAACAGGAATACAAACACCTTCTTTAAGGGCATTATGGACTGTACATACATTCTCTTATAAGGTGGGAATTATTTTCTGCAATTTACAGAGGACAAAATTGAAGGCAAAGCATTTTAAAAAGAAGGCATACTTCATGTTCTGCATTTTTCATCCTTAGGACTAATGATATTGAGGGTCAGATAATTTGTTACTGGGAGTCAGCTTGTGCACTGTAGGATGTTTAGGAACATCCTTAATGTCCCCTCATTAATTCTGCTACCAATCCCCTGCCATAGTCACAGCACCCAAATGCCCCCAGACGTTGCTGGATATTCTTGGAGGAACAAAATCACCTCTGGTTCAGAATCAGTGAAATGGACACTAATGTTGTCTCTCTGTGCCCTCAGAGTCTACTCATTTACCTTGAAGACAGTAGATGTTTAATAAATGTTTGTGTTAATGTAAGTATTTGCAAATGGGTTTTGTTGGCAAGTCAATACCATTGAAAGCCATGGACTTTCAAAGTTTCATCTTTGGGTAGAATATTGCATTCAGATGCTTTGGCATAATGCTTACTATTAATTTAAATAAAATTTGTCTAAATTGCACTTACCTTTTCTAAACAGATGGACCCCAGCCAAGTGACTAACTTGAAAAATGAAATGAGTTTATTTACTCTTTTTATGTATTTTTGTTGTGTGTATCCTAAAGTTTCATATTACTGACTTTATTGAATTACAGATATTGGGATGATTAATTTTCTTTGTATCAGCCAGTACCAATGCCAGTCCGTACAGTATGTTGGATTTCTATGACATGACATTATTTATATATTTCCTTTTCATATGCTATTTTAATTACTGAATGTAAAGTTTCTGTGAAGCTGGTAGGTTTTAAAAATGGCCCTAAATCATTATATGCTTTTGATTGAATTAATTTATGTTGGCTGGGAGAGACATGATTGATTCAGTATTTAAAAATTAGGGAAACCATATGAAGGATTTGCATATATTGGAAATGATAAAATACCATGTTGTCCTGAATTTGAAAAAATACATTGAAAAATTGTTACAATTTATTCAAACAAATGCTATGAAAAATATAACTGACCAATAACTACTAACAGAACTTTTACTTCTGTGACAGTAAATTTAGTAGAATTGTCAAAAGCTATAGAAATGATCTTTCCTAAAATTTAAATTTTGCTTCAGTCTCTGACTTGATTCTAGAATAGTTTGCTTTGGGGGTTTCTCAAAGGAGGAGATAGAGTTCCTGGCAAGCAGGGGCGCACAGTATATTTGTTTCTTGTACTCTTCTACTCTCTGTTATTGATCCCTCATTCCCAGTGTCCTACTGGGCACCAAATTTTGACCTTTGGACCTCCATCCTTACTGCCGTAACCCTAGTTCATATCATCTTCGTTCATATCCCCCTAGAGTACTACGTGTTCTTCAGTGATCCCTCTGCCTCAAGTTGCTTCCCACATCAGTGTTCTCTTTTGAAAGCATAGTTGTTTAAATTATTTCTTTGGCTTAATAGTATTCAGTGGTTCCTTATTTTCCTTCAAAAGAAAATCTAAATTCTAGCATAATCAGTCATGCATTGCCTGGTCTGGCCTCTAGCTTCCTTGTCTCACACCACATTCTTGAATTGCCAGCAGAAGTCATACAGATCATTCCAGCACCATTGTCTCTCCCCTCCAGGTACATGCACATACTTCTCCGTCTTTGTAGAATTCCACCCTGATTCTGGCCAGCTCATTTCTGTTCAGTCCTTCCAAACTCAACTAGCTATTATTTTGGTCTGTCTTGCTTTGACTTTTCTGGTCCTCTTTTGCTTTCTCACAGTCTCCTATCTGTGTGCTTATAATGACATTTTTGGCACTATCCTATAATTGGCTATTTTCTTATACATCTCTTCCTTACTAGATTATGAGCTCCTGAGAGCCGGAAGTATTTCTTATTTCTCACTGAGCACTGATTACTAGAGAGCCAACTCAGTCAGCAAATTATTTTTTCTTTGTTCTTGGTTAGCATCAGAGTAAATATTTATCCTTAGCTCAAGATGTTCCACTTGATTTTCTGGATTCCGGAGGTTGATGTCAAGGATGGTAAAAATGATTCTTATTGTATTGGGTGATTTCACCTTTGTGTATAAGAATTGCCTGTTAGAGGTGCTTGCTGTGTGGATCTGCCAAAATTATGCTACAGGTCTAGCTGACTGCCCTCTGCAAAGACATTATTCATCTCAAAGTAGAAATATGAGCATTCTCAAAGACAGCACTATCCAATAGAAATATAACCTGACCTACATTTGTCATTTAGAATTTCTCATAACCACATTAAAGAGTAAAAAAAATGCAGGTGAAATTGATTTTTCTAATGCACTTTAACTAGCTCATTATAGTCAGAATATTTTCATTGTGGGGCTGGCCTTATGGCATGGCAGGAAAATCTGCAGCCTGCAGCACCAGCATCCCATATGGGTGCCGATTCATGTACTGGCTGCATGGCTTCCAAACCAGCTCCCTGCTAATGGCCTGAGAAAAGCAGCAGAGGACGGCCCAAGTCCTTGGGCCCCAACCACCGATGTGGGAGACCCGGATGAAACTCCTGGCCCCTGGCTTTGCCCTAGCTCAGCCCTGGCCACTGGGGCCTCTCGAGGAGTAACCAGCAGATGGAAGATCTCCCTGTCTCTCTGTCTCTCCCTCTCTCTATAACTCTGCCTTTCAAATAAATAAATATTTTTAAAAATTTGTCATTGTGACATATAACTAATATAAAAATACTTAATGAAATATTTTATACTCTTGTTTTTTTTTCTTTTTCTTTTTCTTTAGTAAATATAAATTTCCAAAGTACAGTTTATGGATTACAATGGCTTCCCCCTCCCCATAATTTCCCTCCTCCTTGAACCCCTCCCATCACCCGCTCCCTATCCCATTCCATTCACATCAAGATTAATTTTTAATTATCTTTATATACAGAAGATCTATTTAGTATATATTAAGTAAAGATTTCATCACTTTGCACCCACACAGAAACACAAAGTGTAAAATACTGTTTCAGTACTAGTTATAGCATTAATTCACATTGGACAACACATTAAGGACAGATCCCACATGATAAGGAAGTACACAGTGACTCCTGTTGTTGACTTAACAATTTGACACTCTTGTTTATGGTGTCAGTAATCTCCCTAGGCTCTAGTCATGAGTTGCCAAGGCTATGGAAGCCTTTTGAGGCCGGCGCCGCGGCTCACTAGGCTAATCCTCCGCCTTGCGGCGCCAGCACACCGGGTTCTAGTCCTGGTCGGGGCGCCGGATTCTGTCCAGGTTGTCCCTCTTCCAGGCCAGCTCTCTGCTGTGGCCAGGGAGTTCAGTGGAGGATGGCCCAAGTGCTTGGGCCCTGCACCCCATGGGAGACCAAGGAGAAGCACCTGGTTCCTGCCTTTAGATCAGCATGGTGCGCCGGCTGCAGCGCACCGGCTGCGGTGGCCATTGGAGGGTGAACCAATGGCAAAAAGGAAGACCTTTCTCTCTGTCTCTCTCTCTCACTGTCCACTCTGCCCGTCAAAAAAAAAAAAAAAAAAAAAGCCTTTTGAGTTCGCCGACTTTGATCTTATTTCCGACAGGGTCATAGTCAAAGTGGAAGTTCTCTCCTCCCTTCAGAGAAAGGTACCTCCTTCTTTTTTTTTTTTTTTTAACTTTCATTTAATGAATATAAATTTCCAAAGTACAGCAAATGGATAACAAATGGGCTCCTCTCCCACTTCCCTCTCACCCAGCAACCCTTCCCCCTTTCCCACTCCCTCTCCCCTTCCATTCACATCAAGATTCATTTTCAATTCTCTTTATATACAGAAGGTCCATTTAGTGTATATTAAGTATAGATTTCATCAGTTTGCACCCACACAGAACATAAAGTATAAAATACTGTTTGAGTACTAGTTATAGTATTAATTCACATTGAACAACACATTAAGAACAGAGATCCTACATGAGGAGTAAGTGCACAGTGACTCCTGTTGTTGACTTAACAAATTGACACTCTTGTTTATCACCCTAGGGTGATTACTGATGCCATATACTCTTGTTTTTTATAACTTGATCTTTGAAATATAACATCTGTTTGTACTTAGAGTACACCTTAGTTTGTCACACTTCAAGATCTCAAGAGACACAGAGGGTTAGTAGCTACCATATTGGACAGTGTAGGTTTAGGAGCTTGAGTAGGCAATGCTTACTTAAAATAGGAATGCCAATATTTATTGGATTTTCCTTTAGGATTCTTGGTGATGCCCTGGTAGAATGTCTCTTTCCATAAAAGGGCCCACTAATGACCAGAAAGACTCAATATAGAACAATAATAAGAATGAAGATATATGTATGAATGGTCTGACAGATGTAGAAGATCTAAGGAAGCAAAATCCACACAGAAAATCTGAGGGCCAGATGGCCAGGCATAGTGCTTTCTAGACTGTGTGAGATGATAACAGAGATTCCAGGGAGAATGATTAAGTAGTTAAATATATCTGACAAATAATGAATTGAACAAGTGGAGCAGATTTTTCTTTCTGCATAATGTATGATACTTAGAAAAAAGAAATACATTTTGAAAGTTATACAAATAGGTCATGAATGTTGTTTTGTTTTTGTTTTTGTTTTTTAAACAACTAGTGTATTGACTGCGGAGGCAACAGGTATGCAGATGGCAAGGGGACACCAGAGATCCTTAGTGTTCTCCAGACACCACTGCCACACACCCTCCACCCCTCATTTTCTTCCTCTGAGGTGGGATGCAGCAAGCTCTCACCCTTTCCAGTGGCTTACCTCTCCCTCCTCTGTGCACCCCACTTAACCTTGACATGACAGAGCCCACCTAGCCTCCATGCAGAGCTAGGAGAAGCTTGGTTCAAACTAACCCTATTTCCCCCAGCTTTCAGTTCCTTCCTCCTTCCCATCTCTTGTTTAAATAAAGTACACATAAAGCAAGTGCAGCGGGTTCCTGGGAGAACAGACTCACCCCAGGGAGGGGACACTGATGGGGCCGGCAGAGGAACCTTAGACAAGTGCAGTGGGAACACAGGAGGATTGAACGTATTTCCTTCTCCCTCCTTGAGGCCATGAATGTGCTCATTTTTTTAAAAATTATGGTATTGTGGGGCCAGTGCTGTGGTGTAGCAGGTAAAGCTGCCTCCTGCAGTGCCAGCATCCTTAAAGGGCGCTGCCGGTTTGAGTCCCAGCTGCTCCACTTCTCATCCAGCTCTCTTCTGTGGCTTTGGAAATCAGTGAAAGATGGCCTAAGTGCTCAGGCCCCTACACTGAAGTGGGAGAACTGGAAGAAGCTCCTGGCTCCTGGCTTTGGATTGGCCCAGCTCTGGCCATTGCCACCATTTGGGGAGTGAACCAGCAGATGGAAGACACCTCTCTCCCTCTCTCTCTGCCTCTGCCTCTCTGTAACTCTGCCTTTCAAATAAGTAAATAAATCTTTAAAAAATTTAGGATAAAATCTCTCCCGAATGCCAACCCTATCCTATGCGCTGAGAGATGTGAATCATTCCAAACCCTATTACTGTATTGGAAAAGATCTTTCCAAATATACACTTATAAATGCATTTATGCACTTAGGAATACTTATACAATTAGAATTTTTTGTTGGCTCATATCTAATTGTGCTGCTAATTTTTTATACTTAGCAATATATCTTGGATTTCATATTAATTACACACACACATACACATACATGCACACAGGGTTTAGGCAGGAAATACAATGTAATTCAAATGATTCAAAGACTTTAGTGAAGGATCTTCCATAGACGGATGGGCAGGTTTGAGGGAGCTAAAATGGATGAGTGAACCATTTAGAGACTGGCAACAAGAGAGACTGCTAAAAGTCTTAGCTTGAAGGAAAGAGGGAAAGATGTAGTGTTACCTGAGACAGAGTCTCTCTCCTATCTTCTACTTGCACTTACACTTGGCTAAATAACAGGGAAAGCCAGTTTGCCAAGGGGGCCAGGTGAGGTAGTTTACAAGGTTCAATCTTCAGGGAACAGTGAAGGGCAAAGAAAGGCATAGAATATCTCTGGGGTGGAGAAGAAATGAATGGCAACCAGAATTCTTACTTCATTTGTTTTATTACTATATAACCTTTTGTGTACACATATGCCATAATTTATCCAAGAGTAATTTTACTCTTAATGGCTATTTAGGTTACTTATTTATTTTTAAGATTTATTTTATTTATTTGAAAGAATTCTACAGAGTGAGGTAGGAAAAGAGAAGCCTTCCATTCGCTGGTTCACTCCCCAAATGGCCGCAACAGCTGGAGCTGAGTCGATCTGAAGCCAGGAGCCAGGAGTTTCTTCCAGGTCTCCTATGTGGGTGCAAGGGTCCAAGGACTTGGGCCATCATCTGCTGCTTTCCCAGGCATATCAGCAAGGAGCTGGATTTGAAGTGGTGCAGCCGGGACTTGAACCGGCCCAATTTGGGATGCCAGCTCTGCTGGCCGGGGCTTTGACCCCCTGTACCACTGCACCAGCAGTTACTTCTAGTTTTTATTAAAAGTACTTCTATGATGGACTTTACCACATGGTATGTATTAATTTTACTTCTAATGGGTATTTAAATTGCTTCTAAGTTCCATTTTCATAAACACTGCTACAATGGACATTACTGTATGCCTCTTTTATAAACATGAATGTTTCTCTAGGGTAGACACAAATAATTGAAATTGCATTTCTCAAAGACTGTACACTATGAATTTTAATAGGTAGCTCTCATCATTGTCTTCTAAAGTTGCTATACCATTTATTCTCCAACTGTTAGTATGGGAAAGTACCTGTGTTCCCATTGAGTTGCAGATATTTGAGATCAAAGATTCTAGAGTTATTTGACTTTGGAAATTGTTTTTCTCCTATATTATAATTCTACTACAATTCTAGTAACATTTTGTTTACAGAATATATTTTGGGAAATATTGATCTACTGATTAGAACAGTCTTTGGAGCCATTCACTTGATTGCTGTGTGGTCTTGGTCAATTACTTCACTTTTCTGAACTTCACCTTCATGGCATTAATAATTATTTTTCAAGATTCTTGACAGGATTAAAGGCACCTATGATAGTGTCTGGCTCACAGTAGAAACACAGAAGGTGGAAGCTAAAATGGGGAGGAAGGGGAGGATATGTTCTAACTGAATTTTTTAGAAGAATGATTTATTTGTTTATTTGGAAGGCAGAATTACAGGAAGAGTTAGAGCTCCTGGATTTTTTTTTAACTTTTTTTTTTAAAGGCAGAATCCTTTAATTACTTTTTTTTTTTTTTTTTGACAGGCAGAGTAGGACAGTGAGAGAGAGAGACAGAGAGAAAGGTTCTTCCTTTTTCATTGGTTCACTCCCCAATGGATGCTGCGGCCAGCGCACCGCGCTAATCCTAAGCCAGGAGCCAGGTGCTTCCTCCTGGTCTCCCATGTGGGTGCAGGGCCCAAGCACTTGGGCCATCCTCCACTGCCTTCCCGGGCCACAGCAGAGAGCTGGACTGGAAGAGGAGCAGCTGGGACAGAATCCGGCGCCCCAACTGGGACTAGGGCCCCGGATGCCGGCGCCGCAGGTGGAGGATTAGCCTATTGAGCCGCAGCGCCAGCCGAGCTCCTGGATTTTAAGAAGTTTCTTTTGTTACTCTTAAGCTTTTCTACAAAGTTTCCCCTAAGGGCACAGAAATATTGGGAATGCCATGAAGTCCAGAAGGTATAGTCTTTGAAGCTGCCCAACACGACTTATGAAATGTACTTTTTCCTTTAAAAACATAGATATTATGTCAAAATCAGTCATTTTTTAATATTTATTTGACTATCAAATGTTTTTGATTATCAAATAAAAGTTATTATTTTAGCTCTCAGTCTTTGGGCAAAATTTATGATTAAGAAGTCATGCCAGGCCTGTTTTATGGCATAGTAGGCTAAGCTTCCATCCCTCGCTGACATCTCATATGGGCACGGATTCGAGTCTCAGCTACTCCTCTTCTGATACAGCTCTCTGCTTATGGCCTAGGAAAGCAGTGGAAGATGGACCACATGCCTGGGCCGCTGCATCCGTGTGAGAAACCTGAAGGAAGCTCCTGGCTCAGTTCCTGACTTCGGATTGGCTTAGTTCCAGCTGTTGCAGCCATTTGGGGAATGAACCAGCAGATGAAGACCTTTCTCTCTGTCTCTCCCTCTCTCTGTCTGTAACTCTACCTCTCAAATAAATACATTTTAAAAAATAAAGGAGACACGCCAAGGGACCTGCAATGCCAACATCCCATGTGGGTGCCGGTTCTTGTCCTAGCTGCTCCATTTCTGATCCAGTTCCCTGTTAATGGCCTTGGAAAAGCAGCAGAACATTGCCTAAGAATTTGGGCCCCTGCCACCCATGTGGGAGACCCAGATGAAGCTCCTGGCTCCTGGATTTGGTCTGGCCCACCCCTGGACATTGAGGCCATCTGGGGATGAAACAACAGATGGAAGATCTCTCTCTCACTCTCTCTCTCTCTGTCTCACTCTCTCCCTCTTTCTCCCTGTAACAATGACTTTCAAAATAAATATACTTTAAAAAAAAAAAAAAGAAGCATGACTTCTTAATCCTATAGTTTCAAAGAAACTTGTTATTTGTGCTACACGAGGAGCTCAGCAAGAAACGGTGCTGCCTCATTCATTTAAAAATTACTTTTGAGCATGTATTAATTGTGGGGAACTGTGCTAGGAACCAGGTTTAAAGTGGTAAAATAGACAATTTTTTTTCCTTGTAAAACTTATAGTTTAATGCTGGCGCCATGGTTCACTAGGCTAATCCTCCGCCTGCGGAACCAGTACCCCAGGTTCTAGTCCCGGTCGGGTCGCCAGATTCTGTCCTGATTGTTTCTCTTCCAGTCCAGCTCTCTGCTGTGGCCTGGGAAGGCAGTGGAGGACAGCCCAAGTGCTTGGGCCCCTGCACCTGCAAGGGAGACCAGGAGGAAGCACCTGGCTCCTGGCTTCGGATTGGTGCAGCGCGCTGGCCGTAGTGGCCATTTGTGGGTGAACCAATGGAAGGAAGACCTTTCTCTCTGTCTCTCACTAACTCTGATTGTCAAAAAAAAAAAAAGTAAAAAAAAAAAATAAAAAAATAAAAAAACTTATAGTTTAGTGGCATAGACAGATGATAAACAAATAAATGCAGAAGGAAAATGATTACAGAGTATGAAATTTACTCCTAGGAATCATAAAAAATCTATGTAATAGATTGAAATGGTCCTATCTCAAGTAGGATGATTAAGACAGGCTTTTGTGAGGAATTATTTTAGCTGCATATGGTAGGATGAGAATGAGGAAGCCACCCTTGGACTTTGGGAATGAGCATTTTAGGTTAAAAAAAATAAAAATAAAAATAAAAAAATTAAAGATCAAGGGCTCCATGTGGAATATGTTCTAGGTACAGAAAGAAGACATGTTTATCTCATAGTGGGCATTTGGTATTGTCTTGTGAAATAAGAAAGGATCACTCTCTTTCTCTCTCTCTATGTCTCTCCCTCTCTCTCTCTCAGTAACTGACTTTCAAATAAATACATAAATCTTTAAAAAATAAAAGAAATTAGAAAGGAACAGAAGGAAGCTAGATCATGTAAGAATTTACAGATCACAGTGAAGCATATCAAATTTTTTTTGATATTCTGTATTTCATTTAGGACATCAAAATTGTTATTTTTTTTTTAAACTTTTATTTAATGAATATAAATTTCCAAAGTACAGCTTATGGGTTACAATGGCTTCCCCCCCATAACGTCCCTACCACCCGCAACCCTCCCCTTTCCCACTCCCTCTCCCCTTCCATTCACATCAAGATTCATTTTCGATTCTCTTTATATACAGAAGATCAGTTTAGCATACATTAAGTAAAGATTTCAACAGTTTGCTCCCACACAGAAACATAAAGTGAAAAATACTGTTTGAGTACTAGTTATAGCATTAAATCTCAATGTACAGCACACTGAGGCCAAAGATCCTACATGAGGAATAAGTGCACACAGAATGACAAGGAGAACAGAGAGACATAAAGAACTACTCCATTCTTTGGTTCACTTATAGCACTCATAGCAGCCAAGGTTGGGCAAGTCTGAAGCGAGGAGTGGGAAACTCAATCTGGGTCTCCTACCTGGGTAACAGGAAGTACTTAAACCAGCACCTGCTGCCTCTCATGTTACTCATTAGCAGGAAGCCGGAATTTTAAGTCAAGCTTGGACTCAAACTGAGGCACTTCCAAATGGGATGTGGGAAGCCCATGTGATATCTTAGTGGCTGTACCAAACACCTACTCCTCATTTAAAATTTATTCTGTGCACAATTTAAAAACAATAACACTTTTTAAGTAGGGAGAATTATATGATTTGAATTTGACAATCATTCTGGCTATCACATGAATGATGAATCAAGAGGGATTTTAAAGGGTAGAGAAAGGCCAGTTAGAAGGCATCTTTGCAGGAAAGGTAGAGAGAATTATGTGGATATAGCACTTGTTTGAAGGTAAGATTGACAAGATTTTGTAATGGAATAGATGGTGGGAGATGAGGAAAAAGGGGAAGTAAAGGATTAATGAAGTTTTGAACTTGAACAAGTTGAGCAAATGGTGGTTCTATTTGCTGAACTAAAGATTTAGAGGATAAAGTTCATACCTTGTGTTTTGTTAAAATGTGTATCACTGGTTCTCCACCACTAGCCCCTTGCCCCCAAAGCTTTCTAATTTAGAAGATCTGTGGTGGGAGCTCTAGAAAATGTGAATTTCTGCCAGGTTTTCAGGTGATACTGTGACTGTTTCCCTGAATCACTGCATTAATAGGGTAATGGGTGCAATCACAAACAACAGAGCATGGATGAGGAAACAAACAGGATACAGGATCAAGCCTGAGATTCTGGAGATTTCAGACACCAGGACAGAGAACTGTCTGATTGCTGAAGGTATACTAGAAGGAAGTTCTTTTCTAAACCACAGACAATCTTACTCCTCATGGTTCCCAGCAGCTAAAACCCCAGAAGTTTAAAGTGATAAGTGAAGAATTATAACAGTTTGAATAGCTCTCATCAGAAACTATTCATTTACGGTAAAATGGGTATCATAGTGTATATTTCATTGTAGTGTAACTATTTATTTATTTAGATGAGAGGGAAGAGGAAGAAAGAGAAAGAAATCCCATCCGCTGATTTACTCTCTCAGTGCCCACAGTAGAGAGGCCTGGCCTGGGCTGGGCTGAAGCCAGGAGCTGGGAACTTAAACCAGGTCTCCTATGTGGGTGGCAGGGACCCAACTACCTGACCCATATCTTGCTGCCTACTAGGTGTGCATTAGCAGGAAGCTGGAATCTAAAGTGGAGCCAGGACTGTAATCTTTGTACTCCAATATGGATGTGAACCCAACTGGTGTCTTAATCACTTGACCAAATGCCCATCCCATTTCATTGTATTTTGGTACTTAGGAAAGAAATTGTCTCTATAGGAGGATTTCTTAGCTAAACAAATTGCAAATAAGCCAGTATGCCTTGCCTGCCTGAAACATTCTGAACAAATACAGGTGTTCTATATTTTGTCTTACCAAGGGGTGAGAGGTAAGGTTAATATTTCCCCTGTCTTGTTAGGAACCAGTGAGGAGCCAGCGCTGTGCCGTAGCGGGTAAAGCCGCCACCTGCAGTGCCTGCATCCCATATGGGTGCCAGTTTGAGTCCAGGCTGCTCCACTTTCCATCTAGCTCTCTGCTATGGCCTGGGAAAGCAGTAGAAGATCACCCAAGTCCTTGGGCCCCTGCACCCGTTGGGAGACTTGGAAGAAACTCTTGGCTTCTGGCTTCGGATAGGCACAACTCTGGCTGTTGAGGCCAATTTGGGGAGTGAACCAGTGGATGGAAGACCCCTCTCTCTCTCTCTCTCTCTCTCTTGGCCTTACCTGTGTAACTCTTTCAAATAAATAAATAGATAAATCTTTAAAAAAAAACAATGAAGGAGTAAATCCTGTTTTTTAATGCCAACTTTCTCTTATGTGGCATTATTATTCAATTTCTTTCCAGTTGAATGTGATCTATTAAAATCAACCTGAAAAACATAAATTTGTTTCATTGAGGAGGGTAACTCATAATGGATATGTTGACAAAAATGAACTATTTAGTAAATTATTTAAAATATATCCAAATTATTGTGAATATTACATTGATTGTAAAAGAAGCATTTTTGTGTGTAGAATAGAATATTTATAAATGTATGTTTTGAGTTATTTTGAATACAGATACACATTTAGAAACACTTCTCATTAATTCAAGTTTCTGTGTCCTGAAGGATCAATTTTAGTTATGAAGTTTCTCATCATCTTCATTCCTTTTATAGTGCAAGATTAAAGGAGATGTATTTTTATATTAACTTCTAGGTATGCAAAGTCATTAGAAAATTTAAAATTTTGAAGTGAAAGATGGAAAAACCCTTATGTTTGCAGGGTAAAATAAATCTTGCTTTTTAAAAAAAATATTTATTTGAGAAGTAGGGTTACAGAGAGAGGGAGAGAGAGAAAGGTCATCCATCTGCTAGTTCACTCCCCAAATGGCCACAATGGCTGGACCTGGACTGATCTGAAGCCAAGAACCAGGAGTTTTTTCCGCATGGGAATGGGCCAGGCACTTGGGTCATATTCTACTGCTTTCCCAAGCCATAGCAAAGAGCTAGATCAGAAGAGGAGCAGCTGAGACTGGAAGTGGTGTCCATATGGGGCCATATAGGATGCTGGTGCCATAGGTGGAGGCTTAACCCGCTGCAGGGTTGGCCCCAAATCTTGCTTTCATATTCCTTGTAACATACACTCAATTTTCTAATTAGAGATAAGTACATGAAATCAACAAAGATGGTTTCATTATTATTATGTCTGTCTTATAGATCTTTTTGTTATTTCATAGTGATTTTTTAAAAACTTGATGCATTAAAATTATTTATAACAGGTATGAAAATATCCATCTTGACAAGTTCCCTTCCTTAGTCTGAGCCCATCCTTACAATGTAATATCCTTCAGTTTCTTAGGGAAAACATTGATATCTGGTTATTATGGGATCAAATCTCAGGAAAATGGTCATCATCCATGTTTTGAAGAAAAATTATGTGGCTTGGTAGAGATATTACCTGAAAGTTATATTAGTTAATTGCTAATTGGTATACAATTCTGTGGGGAGCAACTCGGACTGGACTAAGTTACTGGAATTAAGACTTATTCTATGCATCTGCTCTCCCACAATATGGCGCTGGGAGAGGAGGCAACAGCTTCTACCCAGCTGCCTCTCACCAACTTGACAAGCTGCAGGAGCTGCTCCTGATTGGAGGAGAGCAGCGTACTCGGCGTGTGGGCAGCCGAGTTGGGATTGGTGGAAGAGGACTATAAAGGAGGAGAGAGACAACATGCACCAGGAACATCTAAGGGGAACATCCACCTGAGGAACACCTGACAGCCCCCGAGAGAGCCGGCCGGCGGTGTGCCGCTCCCCCGCGGAAGTGGGGAATGTGGCAGGGGGAA